TGTCCCAAAGACTACCATATGTTGCGATGATATCGTTGTTTGCGATTGTGTTTCTGTTAATAAGGGAAACACAAGCGGAGAGCTATAGCTCCACAAACTTTGAGGACAAGTTAGGCATCGCTTATGAATTCAAAATACATATCGACGCCGGAAAGGAAGACTGTTTCTACCAATACATCCAACCCTCGTCTTCTCTATACGTGGCCTTTCAGGTCAGACACTACTCGACACCACACATGTGCTCACACAACACCACTTTCCCCAATCCCTCCTCTCTATTACTTTTATTGACATGTTTAGCATATTTTAAAACAATTTTATTATAAATTATGCTAATTTTGAACCACAATGTAATAACTTAACGATATTACTTTGCCAAACAGGTGATGAGAGGTGGTGATAACCAAGCTGGTTTTGCCATACGGGACCCAACGGGACAGTTTATACTGCCCTACCAATGGAAAGCACACGCCGAGTACGACGAGGCCGCTGTCCGCACACCCGGTAATTACTGATTATATTTTTAAATGTGTTTAAGTTATCACTGAATTTGTGACCAATTTTCAGGTTATTATTCATTATGTATTGATAACACTGCCTCTCGGTTTGCGGCCAAACTGGTCAGTCTATATGTGGCCTCATTTAAACGCGACGAATGGGAATCTTATATCCAGGAGTTGACCGACGCTGAGGTGACGGTCGGAAACTTTACCAACTCTTTGCGAAACGTGGACAACAATATCGGACAAATGATCAAGAGTTTAGACCACTCGCGAAGAGTCAATTCCGCCGATTGGTATCTCGTGGACGGCAATAACAGGTCTGACCATTCAGAGCACTGTTTATAACCAGTTTTGAATTAAAAACAGAAATGATAAAAATATTTATTTAGTTTAGCGATGACTTAGTTTTTAAATTTAATGTAATGTTTGTTATAATTTAAATGATATTTCTAATGTTGTCTAATTGAAGTTACTTTAAATACCATTAACTGGAATTGTAATTGAGATATTAATGTGTTGTTTATCTGCCGACAGATATGTCCAGAACTGGTCTGTGGTTCAGTGCATTGTAATCGTAATCTCAGCTGTGGTTCAGGTGTTGTTCGTGAAGAAGTTATTTGCCTCGAAGGACACACAGTTCGCAGGCAAACCTCGGGCCTAACCGACCAACACTTCCGCCAATAATTGGGTGCAAAAAATGAAATGTTTTTATAAGTAATATATTTATTGAATGTTATGATCGAGTGATTGAATTATTTCATAAATTTAGATAAGATTTGCTGTTAATTATGTCTCAATTGTTTTGATAAACTTTTTTAAAACTTAATATTTATGGTATAAATGTATGGAGTCTTCGAAACCATTCCTTAAACACTGTCTGCCTATCATTCAAACCAAATCCCAATTGAATGGGAAATGATCTGAAAAACTCATTTATAAGAAACTGAAACTCATGTTTATATTTAATTATTTTT